TTTTTTTTTTTGTGTTTGAGTTTTTCTGTTTTCATTATTTTGGCCAATGTGAAACTTTTAGTCTTAGGATCTCCCAGTTTTCCTAGTGCTGCTCTGGAATATATTCAGCATAATATCATCAGTGCAAGGGTATGGAGCTTTGACTTAGATATCATATGTCTTTGGTTTTGTTTCTTTTTGAGGAATGTTTATTTGTCATCTGTGTGTACAGTAACTTTTCAATAGTTGAGAAACACTTTAAACTGGATCTAGTTGAGATAGTTCCTTTTTTTTTTAGTAATAACAGGAGAGGTTGGTGGGGGTGGGTGTATCAAATTTTAATTATTCAAAGTTCAAGTTTTCTCACCTTTCAGGGTATCTTAGCTAGGTTTAGAACAGCACAGATTACATTTTGCTGGAACTTCAAATGTATATTGTGATTGTTGTTTTCAACTACTTTCTTTCAAAATTACCTGCTTAATCATTGCAGTTCAGTAGAAATCAGTTCTTCACTTGCCCAGAAACAACTTGAAACTGTTGGCGAAGTAGGTAGTCACTTGGCAAAGTTTAAGGTAGAATGTCGTGATGCTGCTGATCCAAATGGATGGGGTATGATGGCTTTACCCTTCAGGCCTTTTCTTATACTTACTTTTGCAGACTTACATTACTTGTCTCCAGAACAATGTTTTTTTACATCAATTTTTTGCAAGATTGTATTAAATCAATATGTTTAATGACAAAGTGCTCGTGCTCTAAGGAAGAAAACCTGATCTGAATATTATATTTATTGATACAGGCCATGAGGAACAGCCATGTTGGGTTATAATGTTGGAGGTGTGCAGTTGACATCGCTGGTTATAGTTGTTTTCTTTTTCCCTTTTTTTTTCCTTTTTTTAATTGTTTAGTTTTCAATGCATAGTTAAGTCAACGAATGAATCAATTTGGCGTGAGTCGAAATTGAAAATTCATATTTTGATTATAAGCTTACTTGTTATCATGTTACGTTCTAAGGCACAACTTTGGACTTGTAATTATTGAATGGGCGCTTTTATTTCTATTTTTTAGGTTCTCGATAATCTTCCCCATGATCTTATTTTCTCTAAGAATCAAGTCGCACCTTGGATGGAAGTATGGGTTGAAAAGAGACATGAGGGGTAAGCTATTGGTGTTGTTTGTGTTACTTAATCACCATATACTTATCAAATTTCTTGACAATGGTTGGCTTTGTTCCATTATGTACTTTTGTTGGTTTGTCACTGACGATGAGTTGAAGTTGCTTAGTATGGAGATAGGTATGCAAAGAATGAAAGGGGGAATAGAAATCAATGTGATTCAGCTTTTTGCCATGTGCCTGTGAACAAAATTTGTAGATGCATTGACCTTTTACTTCTCTTTCAGGATAAGTTATTAGATGATGAAACCATGATTGACCTCTTACTTTTGTTTCACGATAATTAATTAGATGATGAGAAGGAATACCTTAATCCTAATTACACATTATGCGTTTTCATGAATATAATTGAGTGGAAACTGAACAATATGTTGTGGTTTAAACCTATGAATCTCTGCAAAACCAGTTTTACCTACAAACCTTTCTGGAGTCAATGTGAATCCTTGTTAGTAAACAACAATGCAACCACATGATCTTTCTGAGAGATTAAAATTCACTGAGTCGATTTTTATCCTTCAGAAACCGGTGTGTCACTGTTATACAATCACTATATTCTCATGAATGATGTCGACCATGGTCAAATAAATATCATTTCTTTCAACTTGTTATGGATCTTCTTTTGAATTTTAGGAAAATATATTCTGTCAAATTTTCACAGTATGAGTTTGTGACTATTTTTGGTTATCCTGCAGAAAGGGTATGTTTACCAGTTTCACCCCAGTCGGAATTCCAATAATAATGTTTTATTGTCATTAAATCTTCAGAATATGGTGGGTTGTGCTTAGTTATTGGTTGTCTTAGGAGCTGGCAAGATGGTCTTTCTGAAATATAAATTAAATATGCTTTTCCGTTCAATATGTCTCTCTGATGCTCTGTGATATTTGAATTTCATGTTATTAGAATTCCCTGTTTTCTTTTTCTTTTATAATCCAACAGGCTAGATCTGTGTGAGCTGTATAAGCCTATAGAAGATCCATTAATAGCAAGTTGCATGGAGATCCTGGATTTAGCAAAAGATGGCACTACTCATGGAGCCATGGCAGCTTCATTTGCTAGAAGTATTTGGGCTAAAATACTTTCCAAGCCTCGAAGGTGCTGGCTACCAACTGGTTGCTTTGTAAGACATCTTTGGAGAAACTGTTTTTCAGACTCTTACAAGATGGTACTTATTTATGTAGTAATGCTATATACTGAAATGAGCAGAAACTTCTTCAAGTTCTGCATAGTGCTTTACCAAAGATGTCGTTAATCGCATCGGATTTCAGTTACCTTCCTGACGTACGAATACCAGGTGAACGTGCTCCTCTGGTGGCGGCCAAGGTACGAAGAATATCGTCATTGCTCTGTGGTGAACTCTTAACTTGTTTTACCTTTAAGGATAATCGTCATTCTTCTCTTTTAACTTTTTACTTTTTTGTTTTTGTTTTTGTTTTTGTTTTTGTTTTTTTTTTTCTTTTTTCTATAACTGATGTAGATGGTTGGGGAATGTGGATTTGACATTCTCTTCAAATTTGGATGAGTGAATATACCATTATTATAAAGGAAAATATTACAAAATCCTGATGTTCTTTTGTTCTTGTTTTGAGTTCATTTAGATAGGTGTCATTCCTGTGACCTGTAGCACCTAAAAGTCACTAACATGTCTGTATCTGTACAAATAGTTGAGGTAATATATTTTCTGGGGTCAGACCCCAATATGGTCATCGAGAACCCAAACTACTAGTCACTCTAATGGTGTTTGCTTAATAGTTTGTCTAGCTTATGTCTTCGCTTAAAACCTTATTACTCTCATGACTTATACGAGGCTTCATTATACAATCCCAAGATGAGGGATGTTTGCTTACAACTTTGGTTGCTCTTCACTTATTTTATTTCTTTTGTGTTATTTGGCAATGACCACAACCATTTCTTTCTTGTCCATAGAACGTATTCTTAGTGACAACTTCACTTTGTTTCCACATTTCTTTTGTATGTAATCTGATTAACAAATAAAGTGACTCTGGAAGGTGGCCTATTAAGTTCATTTGCAATTTGTCCTTATCCTTTGCAGGAAGATGGGAATAGCTTGGATTACAACAATTATCTAGATGCGAAGGTTTATTTTTTGTTCTCTCTTTTAATCACTTTCCACTTTAATCTATTTTTCGTGCTCATACAGAACTTCAGCGTGACCAGTTTAATTCGTCTGCACCTGAAACTGTAGGGGTGTTATGCAATTTGTCGAACTTATAGTATGGATGTCTTAAAGAGACTAGTCATTTTAATTCAGGCATTTTCTATGTGTTCTCTACTCTTAGCTGATTACTCTTGGAGGCCAAGAGCTTATGGTAGCTATTGCAATTGGATATGAGGTTGAATAAAATGAGGTTAATTTGTTCATTGCTGATATTATCACAAATGATGAACATTTATTTATGTGAAAATGAATGTAACCAGCATCATTAGTACAAGAGGACTTTCACTGTATTTAAAAAAAAGTATCAGGGAGCAAGGTATCCTTGTGGAAGTTAGTGATGTGAAAATAATTGTTAATCAGAATGTCAGGGAATCTTGAAAAAAAGAAAAGCTGATTGGGTAATATCTTCAAGAACCCATGTGAAAAAGTTATATACTCTTCTGAAAAGATTTCGTTATTCATTACCCATACTACTGCTGAAGCTTTACTGGAATTTGATTTGTATGCTTGCCATGATTGTATCATATCAATTACAACGCAGCAATTGATAATCACTTCCATTTATTCAGTACCCTTTTTCCTCCCGTTTCTTATTCAAATGGTGGAACTTAAAGAATTAAGTTTTAAATGTCTCGATTTTGTTATGTACAGGGTGATGCTGATATATTTTTCCCGACGGACTTTTGGCTTTTGGAACGTATGGATCATTACTGCTCTGGATGGTTAAGGCCAAAACAAGATACTTCTTCAAAGAAAGGAAAGAAGAGAAGAACACTTACGGTAGGTTACTAATTCTTGATGCTCCTGTTAGCTGCCTATATTCTCAGACATTATACATATTTGAATTGTGTATTGGTCTTGGGGATAAATTGAACAAAATTTCTTGCCTTATAGCCTATTGCACATGAAAAAAAAAAAAAAGAAAAGAAATCTGTTGCCCATCTTTAAAATTATAAATATACCCTTCTCACATTGAGATGCCCCTTCAAGGTACATTTTACTTTCACAAGTTTCATCATTGGCGATGACATTTATTATTCTCGTTGTTTTATGGTTACTTATTTGGTAATTTGGTTCTTACTTCAAGGTTCACATTACTTTCACAAATTTCATTATTCGACGATGACATTTATTTTTCTCGTTATTATGTTTACTTATTTGCTAATTTGATTCTTCAAGGTACATATTACTTTCATAAATTTAATCATTCGACAATGACATTTATTTTTCTCGTTATTATGTTTACTTATTTGGTAATTTGATTCTTCAAGTTACATATTACTTTCACAAATTTCATTATTCGACGATGACATTTATTTTTCTCGTTATTATGTTTACTTATTTGGTAATTTGATTCTTCTAGGTACATATTACTTTCACAAATTTAACCATTCGACAATACCATTTATTTTTCTCGCTATTATGTTTACTTATTTGGTAATTTGATTCTTACTTCTAGTTGAATATGTTATGCTAACTGTTGTTTTATACTCTCTTATATATGCTTGGTACAATCCGGGTTTAGCTCGATACATCATCCTTTATGGAAGAATTCGGTCTTCCTACCAAGACGAGAACCAAAGATGGGTACAATCCGATGCTCGACGATTTCAAGAACACCAAGTTCTATCTAAGCGTACCTACACATAATATCAAATAGATAAAGCTCAAACCCTACATTCATTTGTGTTGTTCGCGGGAACCAAAGATGGGCACAATCTGATGTTCGTGTCTTGCTTTGGACCGGAAAGAAACTAAACCTCAGCCAACACTTGGAGTGAATTTTTCTATACACATATGATCGTGTTGGGTTCAGTGTTCTTCAGGTTCTGTCTCAAATTAATGTCAGATAGATTGACATCTCAAGGAAAATTACAATTACTGAAAGCAGAACTATGATGTTGAAGAGTAATTAGCAGAATTAAAATTACACTTGGAGTCTTTTGGTTTTGGTGGAGTTAGTATTGTCCTCAAAATTTCCAGGTGTTGTATTTGGCATATATCTGCAGTGAAGCAGTGCATTGGTATCACAAACTAGGATTTGCTTGATCACCATGCAGCCTATTCATGATATATTAGGTAGCCCATTATTTGGCCACAGCACAATTTGGTGAGGGATTCTCCTAAGAGCACCACAATGCTTTGGGTCTCTTATAAAAAAATCACATGCGATGTAGGAAATAGACTTAGTCTATAAAATAGTGTTTTACAATGCAATTAAAAGTAGACCTAGTCAAGCTTATGTGGCAATAAAAAAAGAGATCAAGTCCACACTTGGGTCTATTTTGGACCCAAGTACAAACCCGAACACTCATCATTTATTCTTAATTTAAATTTTCTTTTAATAAATGAAACATATTAGAACATTTTTATTGGTTGGCATGTATGCTAGACCTAGTATTTTATTTTGCATTGAATAACTTTTAAGTTTTTTTACTTGTGTTTGTCCATGTCATTTAGGATTTAAGTCTATTTATATGCCACATATGTAAAATTAGACCCAATGCATTGTGGGTGCTCTAAATGATTTTCACTATATCCAAAAAAAAAAAAAAAAGGAATGTAAGGGTGAATATAAGAAGATAAAGGAAAATTGATAAGAATTCGGTATACTTTCATTTATACTATTATATATTTCTATCTTCTATTTATACTACACTATTATAGAAACAAATGATTTTGTAAAAAATTGCACTAAAATAACTTTATAATTTTAATTAGCAAAAGTATGATAACAAATAAGTATCTCAATAAATTATAATTATATTAAAATATCCCTATAAAATAGTTTTTGTCAAAAAATTGGACATACTAAAATATCTTTATATTTTTAATTAGCAAAAGTATGATAACAAATAAGTATCTCAATAAATTATAATTAATTGGCTATATATGGACTCTTTCGCGTGAGAGCACGATTTCCTATCTTAGGGTTTTTTCATTCGCTTCTATGAGGGTTTAATTCCTCTGATTAGGGGATTGTGATCGATTGATTGATTATCTAATTGGATGTTAAAATTGGGAATTTCACGATGGCGTCATACTCGCGAGGTCAATAGCAAGATGCAGAGGAGGAAATGACCCAAAGAATGAAGAATTTCTCCCTGTCGGGGAAAGAAACAGAAGTAACTGATATTGAAAATACAGACAACAAGATGAGTGCGGAAGAGTGCAGTAAGAGCCTAATGGGGAAAGTGCTAGGCAACAGAAGAGCACCGTTGTTCGGAGTGAGGAGAGCCATGGCAATATTTTGGAGAATTCAGAAAACTGTGGAGGTGAGGGAACTCAAACCAAACTTTTTTTTCAGTTTATATTTGAGTGTAGGGAAGATATGAAGAAGGTTCTAGCGGGGAGCAATTGGATATTTGAAAATTAATATCTAATCCTGAGAGAAGGGAGGAAGGGGCTGAGTGAGGATGATGAATGCTTTGCGGAGTTGAATGTGTGGGTGCAGATACACAATGTACCTTTGGATGGGTTAGTGCTGAGGTGGGATTAAAAGTGGGCCGTGTATATAAAAGTGTTGTGTGAACGTGGTGATATTGAATGTAGGGGGGAGTGGTGGATGATCAATTCGCTATTGGTGACACACGACATCAATGAATCTCTACCTAGGTGCACATCTATTAGATTGGGGAATCAGGTGACAATGGTTACTTTCAAGTATGAGAAGTTGGTAAAACCTATGTTACTATTGTGGAAAAAATGGTCATCTTGATTGAGAGTGTGCCACAAGATTGAGGGACATAAAGGAGGGAGGACTTATGGAGGCACAATTTGGGGAATGGATGAAGACTACTGAGATTAGAGGTGGGAGCCACTAAGAAAACCAGAGTAGGTCAGCTAACAAGGACCAGGATGGAGAGTCTGATACACCTAATAGGCAGGCATCATTGGATGAGTCTGTGCTGAGACTTACAAATAAAAAAGGGGCTGGTGTGGACAATGAGAGTACAACTGGTACTACACCCCAGAACAAACATAGTTTGGCAGATTCAACTTCATCTAAGGAAAACTTCCTACTGAATAACCAAACAGGCACATGTCAGGGACTACACAGTGAGGGACAGGGGAATCACATATCAACAGACTACAAGGAAATCAGTGGTGATGGAGACTGAAAAAGTGCAGAGTGATGATCAAAAGGCCTAGAAAAGAATATCAACAAAAGAAGGGAGATTGTAGGGGAAATCAATGGCAAACTATGAAGTGAGCTGCAAAACCATTAAGAGAGGAAGGAACTAGAGCTGCAAGGAATTAATGAGTATGAGGAAATGAGAGAAGATGTAAATAAGAAAAAGCTGAAGAGGGTGTCAGAGGAGGGGGAGGTGGAGAAGGCCAGCATAAAATGTCCCAGAGTGAACCATGAAAGCTATGGTGTGGAATTACAGAGGTCTGGATGGACCCTCTACAGTTTTCCAATTCAAGGAGTCAATGAGGAGCCACCACCCCATTTTGTGTTCTTTTCAGAAACAAAGAATACAAATGGTTTTGTTACACCAGTTTGTAAAAAGCTTGGGGTTGGGAACAGATATAGTATAGTGGATCCAGTGGGATTGAGTGGGGGATTGATGTTGGGATGGAAAAATGAAGTGGAGGTATACCAGTTACTAAGGCACTCTTTCTGCATAGAAGTTCAGTTCAAACTACACTCATACGATCAGAAAATTTGGGTGTCTTTATTGCTTAAGTACAAACAGAAGATTGAGGGGAGCTCAATGGAGGGAGCTGGAAGGTATGAATGAGTTTTGGGGGAACCAGTGGTGTATAGTTGGGGACTGAAATGACATGGCCACCACAGAAGATGAAAAAGGGGACATAGTGAGATCATCAACCAATATACAGGGTTTTCAAGAGTTCATATCTCATATGCAAATGGGGGAGGTTAGGAGAAAAGGTTATCCATTCACCTGGGGTAATAATAGAGATGAAAAGGGCTTTGTGGAAGAGGTTTTGGGACAAGGCCTTTGTTTCTTTAGACTGGTTGCAACAGTATCCTAACACTCAAAACTACATCAGTCAGTAAGAGCTCCTCAGGCCATTGTCAGCTTATTTTAAGATCCATCAAGCCAAAGTGTGAAAAGGAGATTCTAGTTTGATAGGAGGTGGCTCCTTCAACAGGATACTCTGGAGGTGATAGAGAAAGCCTGGGCAGGACAACAAGAAGGGACACCTCTGTTCAGTATTAAAAAAAAAAGTTGAAAAAGACAAGGGTAGCAATTCTAAGGTGGATGTTTGTCCCATTTTTGTTGCATTTTTCGTTGTTATTTTGCCTTTATTTTTTCTCTTTTTTAGGTCGTTTCGTTGGTTTTTAGTTGTTTTTGTAATTTATTGCGTGTTTTTCTTCATTTAGAGTTTTTCCGTGTTTTTCTTTCATTTTCTGCTTGTCTTCGTTTTTTGTTTTTCGTTTTTGGTGTGCAGGTCTGAAGCTTCGAGCAGATAGGATTTCAAAAATACGTTTTTCGTGCAAGCATAATTATCTAGAAGGGCTCTTTGGCGATAAGTATGAAAAAGCGGAACTCAATTCCGAGTTTGGACAAGCTCAAACGAGCACAAAATGCGAAGTAGAGCAAACCACGTTTTTGGTGTGCAGGTCGGGAGCTTCGGGTGGAAATTATTTGAAGCAAAAAATGTTTTTGTGGGCTTAGTTATATAGAAGAGTTCGTTGTCGAGACATAGAAAAAAACATAACTCAATTACGAGTTCGAACGAGCTCAAACGAGCTCAAACGAGCCCGAAACGTAAAGTCACGCGCAACAACCCAATTTTCTTCACCGCAGCCGCATAGCATTTCTGAATCTGAAATCTCGCGGCCTCGGAGTTCCCCGAGGACGGAGGTCGCAACCAAATTTTAAAAACTCAATTTTGTTCGTCTTTTCGATTACTTTGCATTGGGACTCGTTCCCAGACCAAAGAGAATCCCCCAAACTCGTTTTTTCCCCCTTCTCTTACCCTAAGAACACCATCTTGATATAGTTTTTAACTTGGATTTCTTCATTGCTTTCAGATTAATCCTATATTTTGGATTCAACTCTCAGTACCCTTTTAATCGTAAGTTCTTCTATTCATTTCATCCGTGAATATGATTGTTGTGATTTTTGTGATTGGTTTGTTGAATCCAATATGTGTAACTTATCCAATTTGCTAGGGATAGGGGATGATATTTTGGATTTGATTGTGACTGTCGTTCTTGTTGATTTGTTCAATTTATGAGAGTTAATTTGAAACTAGGGTTCTTGATCTTCATGCTTGAATGCTGATTATTACTGTAGAGTGACACTTCAATTTACGATTGGTTTCCAATTGAAAGGAGAGGAGTCGATCGATCTAGGCTCGCATAAGATAGGCTTGCTCGTAAAAGTATTGCCTATGTGTTACACGACTTGTTAATTTGTCGTTCATGTTTATTCTCTTGTTACGAAAAGTTATTGAGAATGAATCTCTGAACGTGTAGGTTATTCGAATCCTTTAATCGAATGATCGCTTGCCCATTAATTGTGTTTCGAACCGAAACAATTATCCCCGATTCCCTAGCTTCTTCATCATTGTTTGATTCATGTTTTTTTAGTTGATTTCTGTTTTATACATTTTCTGTTATTTCCTAGTTGATAGGTTAAACCTTAATCTCGTTTAGAGTGTTTAGACTTTATTTTCTTTTGT